GGGTTCTGCAAAGAAAGCAGACAGGAGGTTTCTGGGTGAGGGGGCAGGTCTGTTGGGGCGGGCATAGGGCAGGGACGGATTTTGGCAGGTCCAGCACCAGCTATGTGCGGTAGCGTTGTGCAGCCTGTGCCCACCTTGGACCTGATAGAAACACCCAGAGGTCCCCTCCCATAGCCTGGGAGGCCTCCAGGCGAGGAGACCGCTCCTCCTCTGATACCCTGGACAGAGGTCGCCATACTGGCATGTGGTTCGAGCCGGGAGGAAGGCTGACCTCGGTCCTGTCTGGGAGTGGACGCCCTCCCTGAGGCCTGTCCACTTATCCACACGCTTGTCCACCTTGGTGCTGCTGGCCAGGTGGGCTATGTTGCAGATGAAGGTCTTGCCAGTTGAGCTGCTGGCGGGCATGGTTACCAAGCTGCTGAGGGAGTAGAGCCCCAAGGACATGAGAATAGATGGGAAGGTGTGGATGCCGTTGGACACGGCACCTGAGTTCCAAGTCACCTCACCGGCTCAGGGATGTAGCCCCAGACCAGGCAGCCGAAGGCCACTGTGGAGCCAGGCGTGTCCCCGCATCAAGCAGTCAGAGGATAGACCGATGGGGCCTTGGTGGAGGCTGCAAGAATGTAGGCCGTGTGACCACCAGGGCTTCACCCCTGGGAGGGTCCGGGCAGGGTGTCACGAGCCCAGTTCTGGGCACCCCTGAGCCCAGCGCCCATGTGCTTCCAGAATGTCTGCAAACCAGCTGGCCGGCAGGGCCCTCACCACCTGGGGCCTTGTGCCTCTGCAGCTGTGGGTCAGAGCTGGGTGATCACCTGGGTGACAGCCCCCCAGGTCCCTAACCTCCTGCAGGTGCCTGGCCTGACTCAGCCCTGTGTCTGAGTCCTTACCAGTGCTGCGTGCTCCCGGGCAGCATCCGCTGGTCCCCTGAGCTCACCGTCCTGCTGCCCTAGCCCGGCCCTGCCCTAGGTGAGCAGGCCTCTCCTTGGCTTGGTGGGCCTCCACCACACAGAAGCCTGCTTGTGGCCCCTTGCCTGTCCTGTTCTTTGTCCTCCGGGCCCGTGTCTTCTGGGTCAGCTCTGCAGTCAGAGCACCTGGGCCCTGGCCCATGGCCCCTATGGACCCTGGCCCCCTTGGACCCTATCCCTGCAGGTCTCCTCCTTGGCCCCTCCCCTTTCATCCCTGTGGCCTCAGCCAGGCTGCCGAGTCTGTGCCTCGGAGAGCTCCAGTCCCTCTTCTGGTCCTCCAGCTGGAGACCCTCAGCTCACTTCCCCCTCCAACCGGGGCCCCTGACCCCACCCCAGCTCGTGGTTCCCAGATCCCTGTCCTCTGACCTCAGCCCCCTGCTCACTAGCAGCCTCTGAGACTCTTGTCCCAGGAGCATCCGTGGCCCCTGTGAGCATCCCCACAGCCGTCACCCTGGCTCAGCTCCTCATGTGGTTGTACCTTAGGTCCGGGCATTAATCCACTAGTTACAGGGGAGTCCCGCTGTCATGCGGACCCTTTGCTCATTCTCACAATTACAACTGGCTTCCTTGACTACTTTAAGCTGCCTACTGCCCTTCCATCCCCCTGTTCACCAATACAAGCTCTACTAGCTTCTTGGAATTCCTCAGGGCAGAGTCCTGTATCTGCCTGCCCCCAGCCTACAGGTGATAGCTCTGATTGCTCCCTGGAACCTCTGGGGCTGCCCCCTGCCCTCCTAGGCCTCTGCTCCCCTGCAGAAGCTCAACCTGCTCCCTGGAGCCCCTGGGGCTGCTCCCTGCCTTCCCAGCCCTCTGCTACTTGCACAAGCTTTACTTTATTCCTGGAGCCAGTTAGGCTGCCCCCTGCACTCCTAGCCGCCTGTTTAGCAATACAAGCTCTACCAGCTCCTTGGATCTCCTCAGGGCAGTCCTGTACCTGCCTGCCCGCAGCCTACAGGTCATAACTCTGATTGCTCCCTGGAGCCCCTGGGGCTTTCCTCCTGCCCTCCTAGGCCTCTGCTATCCTGCACAAGCTCAACCTCCTCCCTGGAGTCCCTCAGGGCTGCCCCCTGCTCTCCCAGCCCTCTGCTGTCCTGCACAAGCTCAAACTGCTCCCTGGAGCCCCTCAGGGCTGCCCTCTGCCCTCGTAGCCCTCCGCTCATCTGTACAAGCTCAACTTATTCCTTGGAACCCCTGGGGCTGCCCCCTGCCC